CTGACAGCGTTATACCTGGCTACTCAATAGCCAAAGATCATCAGAAAGACCATGTCTCTAAAGTTTGCAAAAGTTCTTTAGGGAAACAGCAGTGTCTGGGGACAGCCTATAACCTCACTTCTTTTTTCTCCTCCCCTCCCTTACCTGGTCTACAGTCCATGGCCTGCACACTGGAGCATGGGTAGATGAGATACACTCCCTCAGCACAGACAGGACTCAGCTGTTATCCCAGACATGCAGGGCTGAGGTAATTCACAAGTTTCCTATCACTCATATGCAGGCTAATGCAGTGGCAAATGAATTTCAGCTGAATTTGTGCAAATGTCTTAGGGCTTTATTATAAATTTGTGTCATTTCTCACCTGTATGAATGTATGCAATTTGTCCATCAAGTTCTTTCTGGATGAGGCCTTTGGTCAAACCAGTGTCCACTGCTGCTGGGTCAACCTTTGACTGACAGTCCACATTCACTTTGTGACCTCATTCCTGTGTTTGCACTGTACTGTGTTGTACCTGTCTCCAGCAGAGAGAAAAAGGATGTTTGTTGCAAAAATGGGTTGCCTACCTCTGTATGGCCCCTTCTCCAGCCACAGCCTTTTTCTCTCACAGTGCCTTCTTACCAACAGCCATTGTTTGGCTCCCTGGATATCTGTTATTGGTGTTTGTGACACCTTATCATCTGGGCTTCTGCACCACCTGTGGTTCAAACATCCATATGGACTTGGACTGAAAAAGGAGAAGTAGGGAAAGATATAGAGAAGGAAGAAAAGCTATATAAATTATCTCTGAATTTGGGGGTTAATTTCTTTATAATCCCCCAGATTTTAATATGCAATCTGATTACAAAAATAAAAGGCAAAAAGATTAACATCAGAAGGACAATCACAGGGTGAAATATTTTATTAAGAACTTCAGTTGCTCTTGGTGACCATCCAAATGAAATGTCCCAACAATTGTGTTTCCTGTCTTTCTTTGGTTGCTTATTCACCCTGTGAATTTTTTTACATCAGGATGAATGGTAATCAAAATTTTCTGTCCATTTTCTCGAGCTTTCTTCAATAGCATTTTTCACATCCAAGTGACGTTCATTCAGTAGGAATAGGCTGCTGCTCTTAAGCCAATGCATAATTAAATCATAACAATTGGTAAGATATAAGAGGAGCTAAATAACTGAAATCACATCCCATAATGTCAACAAAGTTACAAGCACAAATACTAGGGCACTTGCATGTACAATAATGTTGTTTACAAATACAAAATCACAAGGGGTTCTCACACAAGCACATCCATTCCATCAGGCCCATACTCTGTGCTCTAGGGTCTGGAGTGCATCTCCATTGGGATTTAATCCTGACACAATTATTTGATATATGGTATATACTGAAGCACCATGCACTGTTACAACATAAACTGTGGCTTACGATTAGTGGGGTCATACAGGAAAATTAAGAGTTGCTACTATTATCTAGTTGCTAGGAGTAGAATTCCCTTTTGCATTATCCCAGGTTACCTTTTGAACGCCACCTTCTTTTGTAATTGCTGCTCCTGTAAATTGCACCCACGGGAGAGAAGTGGGTGTAATGCAGAATGCATATGGTTACCATATTGATTAACATAAACAAAAGCAGCCAGGGTTTCAACTTGTGGGTTGAGCTTGTTTATGTGTCAACTAAATTTGGTTCCTGCTGGCAATGATTCCTCCAACAAAAATGATAAGCAGTTCTTTGGTAAGTAACTCAGTTTTCAGTGGGGTGTGCTGGCGCAATTCCCAGTAATGTTCCTGGAAAGATAAAGCAGTGCAAGTCTCAGCAGAGCTGGCCTAGACAGGTTAACCCTTAATTGCTCAAGGTGTATAACTTTGGGTGAGCGTCTGCTCCAAGAGCGACTGTTGAACTGGGACATTTCCTACACCAATCTTGCTGGGAGGGACCTTCACCATCTGCTTGGGGGCCTCAGGAAAAGCCTGGGACCCCAGTGTGCTCCCTCTCTCTGGAAGGAGCATCTCCTGGCTGTTTGCAGGAGCCCTGATGCTGCTGCCATACTCAGGACATCACATGGGAGACCTGAGAGCCAGGGAAAACTCAAAACAACCCACTCCCTTCACCTTCTCTCTCCTTTGCAGGCTGCCCAGCTCCGCTGTTTTCTGCCCCAGCTCTGGAGGTTTTTGCCACATTTTAATCAATGCCCCATCTCCGCTTGGACCCTCGCTGCTCCTGCCGTGGCTTCAGGGTTTTTTGCAATGCTTCGTTTGCCTCCAGAGCCTGCTCACCTCTGTTGTTCCAGCTCGCCTCTCCAAGGTTCCTCCTACAGCACATTTCACCACCCGTAGTGTTTTGTGGAGATAACCAAAA